TTTCTCCCGGTCTTTTTCCTTTACAGAAGCTTTTCAGCCTCCCCTGGTTTCTAGGGGCAAAGCCGGCTCCCACTCTGGCTCTTTTGGCCCGAGGCCTCTTTCTCTATGTAATTTTATGGCCTTCCTCCTCTCCCACTGCTGCCATCATGTGCCCTGAGGGCTGGAGGGCAGGGTCCCACTGCTGTAAGCACTGGGTGAGCGGGTCGGGATTAGTGTGGGGACAGGGCGCGGGGCTGGGCAGGGTGAATTTGTTTCCTGCAGCTGCAGCTCTGTCCCTGCTGCCGTGGGAGCTAAGGCCGTGCTGGGCTGTGTCTGTCCAAGTAGCTGCTGTGGGGTTGAATTTGTTGCAGGCCAGCACCCCACTTGTCAAGCAGAAGTTCCCTGGTCTGAGCTGGCTGCAGGGAGGACTCGCTGGTTCCATATGCTCCTCCAGTAGCAAAAGGAGACTCGGGCTTGCACGTCTGGGACGGGCAGGGGCTGCGGGGTTTGAAGTCTCCAGCATGTTAGCATCACAGTTACAAGGCCGAAAGCCCGTTTCTGTGGACAGAGGGTGATGGAGCCACGGCCAGCTGGAAATGGGGGCGGGGTCACTCTTTCTCCATGCCACTTGGAAAGAAAATCTTTGCATCCCAGAGTTGAGAGGTGTCTGATGACTAGAAATTCTGCTTCCCTCTTATTAAACCCAACAGCCTGCCCAGAAATCCCTCCCGTCCATCCCCCTACCCCACAATAGCCCCATATTATTTATACAGAAATCTCTCCCGTCCATCCCCCTACCCCACCCCCCCGGTGGCCCCTGTGTCTTTTAAGCTCCAGAAGCTGTCTCCATGCTGCTGTAATGAGGACTGTAGGGCTGGTGATTCCTGTGGCAAGGGGACACTCTGGAAGGGCATCCCCTCTCCTCCCCGCCCCCCCCCAAGCTCTGTCGGAATGTGCATTGGGCTGGAGCCGTTGCATAGCGAAGTCTCGGCTTTTTTCTTTGGCTTGCCCTAGTGTTGTATAGTTGGATTTGTCTGTATATGCTCGGAAAGCACCAGGGTGATGAATGTTCTATAAAAAAGCATGTTGTAGAATTCAGTAGGTAAGTTTTTGGATTTGCCCCCCACACGCAGCCTCATGTGCGCCGGGCTGAGCTAGAATTCAGCCAAAGTGACCCCCAAGTGTGGCGAAGGCCCGAGACCAGCAGCAGCCCTGACGCGGGAGCAGCTCCCGCTGGGCAGTGTGTTCCCGGAAGCACAAGGGGTCTGGTTGCCGCCGTAGATGGATGTTTTCTGGAAGGTGGGCTTGCAAGGAGAGAGGCGGTGCTTGGATAGCTTTGCTGGTGAAACTGTCCTGCGGAGTAATGGGGCCGGTTGCTGAAGATGTTTGCGGGTCCCATTAGGACCCTTGGTACTACAGAGCTCGGGCAGCATTTTACTGGGTGAGTCACAACTTTAAAAAGAGTGGGGGGGGGCAGATTCCCCTGGCAACCCCCCACTAACCCTCAGTCACATCCTCCCAGTGAGCTCTGGCAAGCAGCATGGGCTAGAAACCAGTGGAGTTGTTCATCCTCCCACTGAGCTCTGGCAAGGAGCATGGGCTAGAAACCAGTGGAGTTGTGCATCATGGAAGTGCTTGCAGCTGGGGATGGGGAGGGTGAACTGGTAAACGTCCCTCTGTATGGGAGACGCTTACTGGCTTCAGTTAGCCGGTGGGCACTGGAGCAGCTCCCTGCGGGCCGTGGGCAGGGGCTGCTGTAATCCTGCAGGAGCTGCTGCGGACAGGGGCTGTTCCAGGTGTCCAGAGCAACCACTGTTCGTGGTGGGCCCAGGGGCGTCCACAGCTGGACGCCGGATAGGGGGGTGAGTAGCCCTTAATTGGTTAACCAGGAAGTAAACTGAACAGGTTAACCCATTACACAGGGGGGCGGGGGGAGCGATTTCCTAGAGTCACAGGGGCATTGCGGGCCAGGGTCACACTGATGCACGTTTCCCTCTTCCCCAGCGCCCTGCGTGCTGCCTGCCTGGAGCTGCAGAGCAAGGGTGCCTGGGCTACTGCCCAAGTGCTCATGGGGAGGGGCCGCCGAAGGCAGAGGAGGCTTTAGGGTGACTCTCTGCCTATGACTCCCCCCCATAAAACCCGGGCAGACGCCACAGGCCTGCTGAGCCAGGACCAGTTCCCCAATGGCCCTGCCAGACCCCTCTCCCCTCCCCCCACTTGTGGGCCCTGCCCTGCGGGGGAGGCTCAGAGCCGCTCACTGTGGGCACAGGGGTGGTGCTAACTCCATGCCCGTGGCTGGGGGGGGGGGCTTTGGGACAGGGGCTGTGCTGCTCTTTGCCCTGCCCCTCCCCCGTTTCCACATACCACCCCCCCCCTTACAGGAGCTCTGCGGGGGGGAGGGGGAGTGCTGAGCGTTGGCTGTCGGGACTTGTTTACCCAGCACTGAACGCAAGCGATGGTTCAACCGAGGAAATAGTCTGGCTGCTTTTGTTCCTATGGCAACATGCTCAGAACAAGGATGAGATCAAGGCCTTGGGCTGCAGCTCACCAATCCCAGCCCTGGCCTGCTGCCCCACCCTCTGCCCCAGCTGTGGTCACTGGCACGGGCTGCCCTACGTCACCCGTGTTAAGGAAGCTGGAGCAGGTCTTTGGGCC